GATTCCTCCCATCACACGTCATCAACATATGTCGCGTCACTATTGAGTAATTAATTTAGAAAATTAAAGTTTAAATTAAACTTCTTATTCTATAGATAGCGAAAACGTCAAATGTAAAAATAATTTCAGCATTTCATTGAATTTTATTTTTAGACAACCATCACGAAGGCATCACTTCCACTTCCTGACTTGAACTCACATATTTTTAGAACACTACGATGCGAATGGGATGTGTGAATGATGATTTATGTTGACTGACGTAGCCTGTTGTGGCATTTCTACATTCAATATTGTTGAAAGTAAAACGTGTTCTCCTACCAAGAAACTGTCCGTTCTAAATATAACGAAATGATGTGCTTGCGTAAATAAAAGCAGATAAAAATATGCGTGTGTTCCTGCGTGCATGGTAGTGTGTGAGTAGAAGTTTCAAATAAACTTGGATAAACTTATCGTCTCATTTATTTTTTTAGTTGTACGTTAAAAAATAAGAAGATATGTCCGATGCGGTATACTGTCAGCTGAAGCTTCCAAGTTTTACAAGAAAACAACAAATTCATAAGCGTAAGAGTAAAAACATATATAAAGTCAATCAGATGAACGAACACGGGGTAGAACGAACTCCCATGCACACACACACACAAAGAGAGAGAGAAAGAGATAGAGAGAGAGAGAAAGAGAGAGAGAGAGAAAGACAAAAAGAGAGAGAGAGAGCAAATGAATACATAGCAAGATGCAAGCTGTATCGTAGTAATCATCGGACTGTAATTGTTGTAAAACGTTTGCAAATTGAAAACGATTAAACAGTTTAATAATGCATTAGTCATTAGAATGACATTTTAAATTAATTTCATTAATTATAGTTTACACGCAGGCAGAACATTTCGTGTTGATGAGCGTGATTTGTTTCAAATATGCCTTGAATAATTAAATTCTAAATAACAAAATAATAAATATTATGCGCGAGTCCACGCCTTGAATGTATACCTGTTTATTTTATAACGAGTTTTTATTATTGTTACAAAAGAAAAACAAACATTTTTTTTGAAAAATAATCAACATATTTGCATTATACAAGTCACAAAAAGTGATTCAAAAAATGCCAAAATATATTGAAGAAAGTAAATTGACTGAATGCTGAAATAAGAGGTATTGAACAGTCAACAGAGAACAAAGGATAAGCTAATAAGTTGGAGTAGAAAACTAAACAAAAAAATGATTCATAACATTCATTCATTCACCCATCCATTCATTTGTGAATATGGAGAAAAATAAAAATAATTCATACTTTAAAAAATTTCGAGTGTGTAATTAAGAAAGTGGATGTATGCATTGCATAAATACATACATTATCTTATTAGGCGCCATATGAGTTATCTGCATACGATCTGTAACATAACAAAACAACGACAATAATCATAATAATAACAATTTAAGATTTTTTGCGTTGTCGATCGTTCGGATTTCAAATAATTATGTTATTATTATTTTTATTAGCGAGGCAACTGCATAATTTATAATAAATATTACAATAAGTAAATTGCCCAGAATAAAAAGTTATTTGTAAAAATTGAAATTTTTTTAAATATTTTTGCCACTGGCTCTTTTAACTCTTTCGGAAAGGAATGAAACTTTTGCCGGTTGGGAACAGATCTGACCGACTGAGCGAGTTCAAAGCGAAGTAAAAATTATGTACGCTCACGTTTATAACTCATTTAAATGGATTTTATGTGTTCCCTGTTACCGTTTTATTTGTTTCCGTAGTCGTCACTACTTCAGAAAAGTTTTCTATTGTCGATCTACTCTGAAAACTATCACTTATCTCGTATTTTAACAATGTATTTTTCAACTTCTTAGACGTTAGCAGTTGACATGAATTTATCAAAATATTTCATTTTATTGTTGCGATGTCTGAGATAAAGTTTTTACTGCATATATATTTTCACTGAATTATTGGAAATGGCCATTCTGCACGAGAACAGTTTACGCTAACAAAATTCAAATATGCTAGCAGTTACAAATCACGAACTGATAGACCGTTTATAATTTGAATGGGCAGTAACGATGGAAAAATGGTCTACCGTTGTTCTTAAAAGATTTGATAGAGGAGCAAGGGTTGAGTTAACTTTTCCTTATGCTTCTTCCTCTTTTTCTCTCCGTCTTTATCCTTCCTCTATATTCCTCTCTTTTTGGTCCCCTTCTCTCTATATTTTTTTTTTGTTTTTGGTCTTCTCTATATATTTCTCTGATTTGGTCTTCTTCTCTTTACATTTGTCATTTTTTAGAGTTAATGGATAATTTTGAAATTTAAAAATGTACCTAAAAAATAAGTGGAAATTTTTTATTGCAACTCATATGAGCTGAGTAGAGCAATAATATAATCAATCAAAAAAGACGTGTTTCATTAATGCCTGCTGTTGGTAAAACTTAACAAACAATCTTTATGTATCTAAATGTTTATACATATACACATGCATATATCACAATTACACCCATGCAGTAAGCTTACGGTAGTTATTTATTTAAGAATGTATATAAAATGTGAGAGAGCTCTACGCAAGCGTGAATGCATCTTAATATGGTTGAAAATCTATACTATAAATATTATCTAAACTTCTAGGAAATTATAACAATGACCGCGACGTCATTGATGATTTTCAAAATAGCAGCATAATAATAAAAAAAATAATATAAATAATAATAGTAATAACAATAAACTAGTTGAGATATGGCTGTAGCTAGAATGAATGAAGCATACTTGAGTCAAAAAGTGAAATTGTTTACTGCTTAACTGATATTTTTATTCATTCATTCATTCATTCATTCATTCATTCATTCATTCATTCATTCAATGATCCTCTGTAATCCCTTAAGGGACCGTTGAGGCCGATGGTATTCTTTTATCTCTCCAAAATCCTTTTCTTTCCCTCGCCATCTTCATTGAGCCCAATGTTCCAATCCCCGTCCATTCCGTGATATCATCCATCCACTTCCTCACAGGTCTTCCAACTTTTTTCTTCCAGTCCCTCTTTCTCATCAGTACTTTTTAGAGATATTTTTATACGTTAATACATTTGAAAGGTTAACACCCCGGAACGACCTTCATTTGGAGGGTACACGTATTTCTTTTCCAATGACGTTCAGATTTAAAAATTGAAATAAACAGAAGCGGTCAATGAATTTTAAAAAAGAAACAAAAATCTCAATTTTATTCTGCCTAGTATTTCTTGAATTGCTACGGCAACTAAAACTAGCATGAAAACTACTGCAGTTGCTATTGCTACTTACCACCATTGATGTAGATACTACTACTACTACACTTACTACTACTACTGCTGCTGCTGCTACTAGTACTACAACTACAAATAAATGTCGACTATAATTATCGATGAGTAAATTAAATTCATCTTTCGTTGGAAATATTTTTATAAATAACGCTGAGATCCTTACGCTCGTTGCCACCTCGTCATTAACATCTGCCCATGAGTAACATCATTTTTAGAAATAATTTTAAAACTTAAAATAAATGAGAACAAACAGAAATGCATACGATTTCATCTCGAATTTTTTTTAATTAACTATCGGAAATTTTTACATAATTGTGATTTCCACTGAATTATACGGATGCTCTGGCAGAAATTTCGTGAATAATAAGATAATTATAATAGTGGTAGAAGTAGTAGTAGTAGTAGTAGTAGTAGTAGCAACACATAAGTAGTAGTAGCGGTATAAGTAGCAGTAGAAGTGGTAGTAGTAATAGTCGTAGCGGTATTTTTTTTGTAAAAAATTTGATTTACTCATCATTTTTGTTTCTTTCATCACCATCGTTAGCGTTATCATTAGCAGCCCAACAAACACACAAACAAAAACACAAACAAACAAACAAAAACAAACAAACATGCTAACATATCTACATTATAATTATAAACTTGCCTAGTCGAGCCTTACGAGCTAACCTGGTTTGAAGCATTCATCATTTTTTAAAACATTTCTTAATATCCTTATGCATATATGTGCACTTGTACACACATACAAAACAAAGCTCACACAAGTTTACATAAGGAATTTGTGAATAAATATATAAGTGTGTGCTGATCTAGACAGTATGAATATATGTTGGTATGTATGTGTATACATTTTGCACTCGTAAACATGAATGTATACTATACAGGCAGTTGTTTACTGATCTAGCATCCAAACAACATAAGCCGAGCCATAATGAACCATAGAATATAAGAACCATATATAGCTGTGTGTGGTTGGGCATCGTGATGTTAATGTTAATACATCTATATTTAAAACAGACCATCCCAGCAGTATCTGTATCCGAAGCATAAGTATAACCAGCGTAACCATTGCACGTTGACAAATAAATTTTTAACATTTCTATTTGTCGTTTAATAAATTATTTTGAATTTATCGAAATATTTCGAGAAAAAATATAAAATGGCTGCGACTCAAACGTAGCAAGAACCTGCCCGCATCAGCCATTTTCTTTGTTATGAATGTGTTAGAGGGCTGTCAGCTGCATTCGTATAATGCCGTCATTATGCATGCATGTTTTTGTTACACAATGCTGTCTTCTCATTGGCTGTTATTTTTGAACTTGATTCTCATTGGATGCGGAGTGACCTCAATAATTACGCATACTAATAAAATGTAGGCTGCTCAGTGGTTCAACTTTCATTCGAATATCTGTTCTTGAGCGAGTAGCATTGTTTTCCCATATGTTATAAAAAATATTTTGTTCCGTTTTTTAATAATTTTTAAGTATTTTAGTAAGTAAATCGGTTTTTAAAACTTCTTTCACGACTAATTTCATTTATTCTGTTTTAAAATCTAAACCGGAAATTCAATTTTTTTACGTATGTATGTTTATAATTTTTTTAGATCTTCCCACGATCAACCGACAGCAAATTCGACAGTTATCGGAACCTCGGTTTTTAATTCGATACTTTATTTTAACTCTCAAGAACGAACAAGCCGTCTATATGCCTACGCCAAGTATGCTTAACGAAGTTAACAGCGTCGTAGATTTCATCACAAAATTGTTCTTACAACGTAATCTCGAGTCAAGAGTCGTCAAATCGTTTGCCGAAAGCTTGAGGAACGCGATGTGCAACTATTACCTCGACCATTGGTTTCCGGAGAAGCCATGCAAAGGCAGTGCTTACCGTTGCATAAGAAACCACCACAACCGTGTCGATCCATTGTTTCTTGAAGCGGGGCTCTGTGTTCAGTTAGAAGCTTTCGACCTCGCCAATCTCCTACCGAAAGAAATAACGATATGGGTCGACCCTGACAATGTCTCCTATCGCATCGGAGAGGAAGGCAGTATCGGAGTTCTCTTTGATGGACGACCCCCGGCCCAACCAGAAATCAGCTGTCGACTTTCAAAATTGCAAACCTGTAAAGATCAAGTATTTTTCCATCTTCAATCGTCTGCCAGCAGAACTGGATCGGAAGGTGTCTCGGCGGCAGCCAGCTAAGCTGGTGATTAAATAAACATTAGCAACAGCCTTCTGGATCTCTTATATATATTATAATAATTATATATATATTTTATTTTTTTCTTTTCAGTAATCATAAACAATTATAAATAAAGGTACAAACAGCTTGATATTAAGTTGGTGGGTTAATTTTATGGTTTGTTATTATAAAATTTTCTTAAATCAATATAACATAAATTTATTATGAATGCAATTAATATGTTATACATATTATATGTGTATTTATTAACATTTTGAATGACTTTATTTACATTAAAAAAACTCTTTCTGGTTGTAAGTTGAGTCTGTTCTTGATCTTACGTATGTGTACATATGTGTGAAATTGATATAATTGTTAATGTAAAGATATGCACATGTATGTGCTTGTGTATTATACTAATTTTAATATAATTGGTATAATTTCAACAGTTTATTTTGATCATCATTTTTTCCCCAGACAGTCTACAAGAATTTACTTCATTGCAGTATACATTTTGATAATATACTTTCATAAGCAGTTGTTCATTCAGTTAGTTATTGATTCTTTCCATGCATCCATCCATTTTTAGATTATCCTGTTTTCCACTTTTAATGCTGTGCTTAATATAGCTCATGGCTCATTCTCAAATGTGTGTGCATTATGCACTCATATACAACATCTATGTTAGATATCATTGTTAAGTGTTTTAAAAATGAATTTTAATTACACATTTTGTCTTATATAAATGGATATGTATATATACATGTGTGTGTATGTGTGTGTGTATCCATGCAAGTGTATTATACATAGAGAAGATGGTTGTACATAATGCGAATTGTATCATGAACATTATTGCATGTCATGTGCAATTGTATTCCTCAGTGCCTGCCTGACCACTCATACATTTTGTGTGTTAATGTGTGTGTGTGTTGTTGCTTGGTTTGAAAAGTGGTTCTGTTATATAAATCATATCAGATTCATTTATTTGTAAATATTTTAAATATATACTAGTATATTTCATAACAATAATTAAACTTTAGCTTATCAAGGTTCAATGTCAATTGTAGTTTATTTAAAATATAAATTTATATATTGTTCATCAACATGTTAGGTTTTCATTAAAATTTATCAGAACAAAAAATATTTTGATAATTCAATCATTGTATTAATTTTTTTATTTGTTCTCACATGGTAGTTTTCAGCTTACTCATCATAATATTCTGTTTTTTTTTGAATAATCCCTCCCTTATAAAGTATAACTTGAAGATATTTAATAATTTTAGATGCTAATAATCTTTTTTCATCCTAAAAAAATAAATATCTTTGGTCATGTCTGGTTTTTAACTGGAGAAAATGCTCTTGATTCTATCTATCCACATCTTAATTCTCTCTTCATTTTTTGTGGGGAAGAACTCTAAAATAGCTGGCTTATTCTGCGGTGTTCATATGAAAATCTGTCTGTAAATAATATGGATTAGTCATTCATTTTTTGGTTGAGTAGCATATTTGGTATGTGTTCGCAGGCTCACCTGAGTCTTAGTTGATAGTACTTGTGTAGCTTATGTTGTTATATGGATAATTCAGTGCGAGGGCCTAACGACAATTATTTTTCTTATTCTTTTTATCAGATGTGGAAAATGTTCATTTTCAATAAGTGTAATAGTTTATCACACAAGCTCAGGAATGTAACATATTTATCTTTATCCTTGTTTATTTATTTGTAAATAACCTTTTCAGTAGAAGTCCATTTGCTAATGTTTATTATCATAAGATCAATCATCTATTCAATAAATCTAGCATGTTCATATGTATGTATATGTATATATCTCAAAATTTGCACTTGATTCATGAATTTGCCAACCATGTATCTAACCAAATGATATTTACGTTATAAACTCTTTCATTTAATAACTTATCCTTACAACGTTTGTGCTGTTGAAAGTGATTGTGATTTGGCTGGTAGTGTGCTTATTTATCTGTGTGGGTTGGATTGTGTTTCTTGGACAGTGATGTTGGTGTGGTGATGATTAGTTTTCCATTCCAGTTTGAAATGATTAATTTATATTATTCGCATTTCTTTTTACTGTTACTATCATTTTCCTTCTTGTGAAATAGTTTTTTTTAAATCATAATCACATATTATTTTTATTGGTTTCTTTGTTGAATCTTCATTTGTATTGCTTGTCCTCTGGCAAATTATTTTGTTTTTCTATTTACTCCTTCGTTAATTTCAATGTCCTGGTTTTGAGAGTTATTTTTTGTTTTTTTCTTTTCTTTCTAGTTAAAAAACTCTATAAAAAAAATAAGAAAATTACAGACAGTTGCTTTTGTTGATTCTCCTGGTCAGTAATTGTTAATATTCCTTCCTAATTTTCTGTCATTGTTATCAATTCAATATTTTTATGTATTTAATTTTGAACTTTTTCTCCTAACCTTGTTTTAAAGTATTTTTCATTTACCAAATTAATTATTTCTCTCACATCTGGTTGTTGGATCGTAATTATAAATTGTTTTGTGCGTGCATTTGCATTTGTGCGTTAAATTGATTTGATGGTAAACAGTGGCATTGATTTTTTGATTCCTTGCATTGCGAACAGTATGACGCAGTTTGTGTCTGTATCGATATTTATATAGCTAAATGTGTACATTATATATTCATTTTTAAACTTTTCAATGATATATTTTATTCTCTTTGTTCACTTTTTTTAACCTTCTCTATTCAGTCATTTGTAAATATAGTGTACTATAAAGATTCTTGAACCATGATGATGATGATGTGACTGTTATCTCTCTGGTGGTCATCTGGTTGCTTCAGAACCACCGGCTACCACCAACAATATTATAACTTCATTATAACATCAACAATATTATAACTGTTACGGAACAATGTGCTATGAATTTGTATTATTAATGTATACTGCTCTGAATTAAATTTTCTTCGTGCTGTCTTTGTTTAATTTAATTTCATTTGCATTAATTCATATATATATATATATATATATATATATATATATATATATATATATTTCTGTCGTGCATTTAGAATATGTAGTTAAATGTATTTAAAATGTTATATTCCGAACAAAAAATTGAAAGAATGTTATATAATTTGTGAAATAAAATAAAATGTTATTTGATATCATTTTTTGCTGCAACTTATACAATTGTTAGCATTTACAACCTAACATCAAAAAAATTAAAAAATTACACGATTTATGTTTATAAAGCGAATTTAAGTTTTTGATTTTGATTTTTCGTTCGCACAATGCAACAAGAAATACTATTATTACTAATAGATCAAGCCAACTAAAACATTTTATAAGCCACGAATTTCATTCATAATTACGTGTTTCTTGTCTTTAACTTTGCGGTATTTCATGATAAGCATTAAGAGATGTTTAGATGATATAGATGGAAAGTTAAGACTTGCAACTTATAACGCATTAATGCTTGATTAGAAAATAAAGCAAATTTCTTCATCACGCTTCATCTTGATATATGTAACATCAGTATATCTCAAAAAATTATAATAAGTTTTAAAATATGCGAAATTATTTTCAAAACTGTACCTGAATGGACTAGTTCATGAAGACTGGTAAGATATCTGGTTCTCATTTTTAGCCTCAATCGTTTAGCTGTAATTTTTGATTCTTGAAATTATGAATCGATCGCAGTTGTAAGTTAATAACTGAGCAACGAAATCTTTACCCGATGTCTCAAGCAAATTTATCATAAGATGAACCATTTTTATGAGCTTACAACTGCGAGTGTTTTAATAGGAATTAGAAAAAAGCAATTGGAAGTAAAAGAAGTCTATTAGTTTTTTGGTGGATAAAATGAGGAAGGATTACCATGCCACGCTGCGCTATTGCACGATTCGATTACTTTTTGAAAGTTATCAATATCTAATCAGACTGACCGTTGCAATGGCCATCAGCAAATCACAAAGTCAATCTGAAAATAGTCGGCCTCAATTCGAAAAACCTTGTTTTCCACGGTCAACTTTATATGTATATACAAACATGTATAAATGATAAGTGTAAATGCACTGCTCCATTATAATGGGTATGCAACTTGAACGCTGGTCTTGCTTTCAGTAAACTTTATAATGAAAATAATGCCAAGATTTTCATAAATAATTGATAACCCGGGGGAAATTTTCAAAATTTTTCAAACAATTTCCCGAAATTTGAATTTGAAAATTGACGACTGGGGGGAGCAATTTTCAACAAAAAGTTGATGATGACCGGGGGAGGGGGTGTTTTCCCAAATTTATTTGGAAAATTTTTCAATCTTCAAAGGAGGGGGCAACATTTTGACGAAAGGCCAACCCAACTTTTTCGATGAATTTTACTTACCATGCTTTTGAGGCTTATAATGTCATTTTTCCTTCAAAAACCCTACATTTCCGTTAAAATAACCAAGTAATACTAACTTTTAACACAAATAACGCTTACAACGGGGGGGAGGCAGTTCCCCCGGCCCCCCCTCCATAAATCCGCCGCTGTCTGATTAAGCCATATGTACAACAAATGATTTTATACATATTACGATTTACGACGTTTTCTTTCTCATGGACAGTTCTGCATTTTACTTTTCTTATATCTGGAACATAAACAAGTCGAAGCCTGTGCCGCTACATTTGATATTCCTCTTTTTATTTCTTACTCCGTTCGTCCGTTGGTTTCTTAAAATTTAAATAAACTATCTATTTATGAAATCTTGTCTCTTTTTCATTCGCGATCGCTCGACCTGATTTAATTTTTGCACGAAATGGAAACGACAACGGTGAGTTTCTCTCTTGTTTTTTAGTAGCAGTTAGCTTTTTTTAATTTTAAGCTTTAGTTTTTTTTTAGTTTTGGTTAGACTTTAGTACTTGTTTGCTTGTTATATAAGTTATTTATATTGAATTATTTGAATTATTACTTATATTGAATTGAATTTAATTGAGTTGAGTGACCTGAACTTGACAATTTCACACATTTCAGATTTAAAATTTATTTTAGATTTTATTTTATTAATTTTAAGATTTTATTACAGATTTTTCTTTTTTCTTCATTCATGATTTGGATTTTTAATTTGGATTTTCAGTATTTTACTAAAAAATCATTCTTACTTAATTTATATTTTTTTAATAATAGACAAAAACTCGCCTAAAAAAAGTTAAATTGTTGTCTAAGTGTTAACAGAATAGAATATGATGGCGGGTTTAACTATCTATTAAAAAACGCATTCACTTCTTAATATTTAATTTATATTTTATATATCAGGTTCTTGTTGTAACTTTTTTAATCAAGTATGATTTAATCAGAACTGACTCAACCTCAGAAGAGTAATTGTTATTTATAGAATTTTCATTTACAAAACAACAGGATGATCCAACATTAGAACGCCACTTCAAAGGTCACAAAGATGCCATTACAAGCGTCGATTTTAATCCAAACATGAAGCAAATAGGTACTAATTCATTTCTTTTAAGAGTAAATTTAAACACAATATTTCAATGAATTTTAATATACAAAATTAGCTTCCGGAGCCATGGATTCGTGCCTGATGGTTTGGAATTTTAAACCTCATATGCGTGCCTACAGATTTATTGGACATAAGGTTGTTTATTTTTATCTTAGTGTAATATGTCAGATCAGCTGGACAAATAAAATAAACTTTTGTAGAATTTATTTTCAGATCACCATAGCTACATTTTTTAAAGTGAAAATCAATTTACTGAAAATTTTTAAATTTTCATTTGTTATTGATCTGAAAATCTAAGGAGTTTCATTCTACATATGCAAAACTCATCACTTTTTAAAACTTTTTCATGGTTTTTATCGATTGTTCAGTTCAGTTTTAATGTAAAATCAGAAAAATAATTTTTGTTGCAGTTAGAAATTCATCCATATATGTATGTATGGCAGTTTATAAATTGCATGAAGTGATAAACACAGGAAGCAGTGATGTGCATTCAGTTCTCTCCATCTGGACATTTGGTGGCTTCGTGCTCCAGGGATAAAACAATCAGACTGTGGATTCCCAGTGTGTTAGTCTGTTTTTATTTATATTTGACTATATTTAATTTTTAAATTTGAGTTCTTTTACTATTTAATTTTGTTCACTTGCTTAAGCTGTCATTAACTCATACATGAAATTGTTCAGTTGATTACTGTAGTTGTTGCTTGTGTTGTGGTGCAAACATTAAATGTTTTCATGTTTATAACAGAAAAGGTGATTCGACAGTATTCAAAGCACACACAAGTACAGTCAGAAGTGTGGATTTTTCACGCGATGGCCAGATGTTATGCAGTGCCTCTGATGATAAAACTGTCAAGGTTTCGTAATTTTTAAATTTTATTTCTCAATTCATTATCAATCTGTTTATTTTTTTGTTTACTACGTACTGTTCATTTCTGGTTGCATCTTTCTACATATTCTAATCAATTTCATAAAAGGTTTGGACAGTCAATAGGCAGAAGTTTCAATTATCTTTGAATCAGCATCTGAACTGGGTTCGATGTGCCAAGTCAGTTTTGTAAAATTTCTATATTTATATTAATGCTAACAATTCATTTTTTGTACATCAGTATTTTGGCTTTTAATTAAACGTCATTAGTGCATGTTATAGAATTTTTAATGTTAATGATTGATTTCAGTGCATAATTTTAAATGTAGATTTTCATCAGATGGTCGGATGGTTGTTTCATGCAGTGATGACAAAACAGTTAAACTTTGGGATCTTCTATCTAAAGAATGCATTCACACATTCAATGAGCATAAAGGGTTTGTGCGGCTTCTGCCATTTGCCAAATCATCTGCATGCATTTATTTTATTCAATTTCATCTACAACAATATAAAAAACTTTTAGCATGCTTACGCTGGCTTATGCTGACTTTAAAAAATTCTGTGATTTAAATATCAATAATCAGGTAGACCTTGAAATGTTTGTAGGTACGCCAGCTATGTGTCATTCCATCCTAATGGCACCAGCGTAGCTACGGCAAGCACTGATAGTTCAGTGAAGGTCTGGGATGTGAGGATGATGAAGATGTTGCAGCATTACACAGGTTAATAAAGCATTGTTTGTTTTTTCTTTCTTCAATATTATAGCGTGATTGTTTTTAGTATCATCTTAGGATTTTAATGCTAATATAATGAAACTTGCCGTGATTATATCCATTGTCATCTCACACATGTTCATCATCGTTGTCATCATTTCATAAATGATGACGATCATTATTATCATCTCAACAGCACACTCAGGGGCAGTGAATGGCCTTTCCTACCACCCAAGTGGAAATTACCTGTTGTCCTGTTCGGAGGACACGACCTTGAAAATATTTGACCTTGTTGAAGGTCGACTCTATTACACACTTCATGGTCACCAGGTTGGCTTGAAAAAATTATATACAACAGTGCAATAACAGTGCATTATGTTTGTAACTGCATTAACTTTTGAGCTGCCCACAAATGCATTGCTATTAAACTGAACATGTTCCAATAGTAAACAAGAAACGTAAATGAGCTCACGTTATTTTAGAAATTGTGATTTTCAAGTGCGTTCTTGCTGTCTTCACAACAGTCAAGTTTGTTATTATAATTTGATTTTTTTATAAAGGCTTCTGTGACAGCTGTCAACTTTTCAAGATCAGGTAATCACTTTGCTTCAGGTGGAACTGATGAACAGGTTTTTGTTGCTGTAAATTAGACTTGCTATCATTTGTACAAATATTACTGATGCAGTTGTGTTTACAAATTTTTGTTGTAGTTTCGTTGCATGCTAACGTTTTGTGTTGCAGCTACCTTCTTTTTTGTTGATTTTCTCAAGTATTACTAAAGAACTGGAGATAATTTATTATAAATGTTGTTGTGAAGGCAATTCAATTATATAATTTTTAATCTGTTTTCTGTATAAATATTTTGAATATTGATGAATAGAGCCTGTATACAAAATTTCAGGTTTTAGTGTGGAAAACTAATTTTGATCAACTGGAGTTGAACCAGGTAAACAAATCATCAGCGTCATCGCCAACGAGGTTTTCTTCATCAACTACAACAGTTCCAGCATCGCATAAAGGCTCCACATCATTGCAGTTCTCACCACCGATGCCTTCCCTCTCTCAACCATCAGTAAATGAAATAACATTGGGGCCTTATGAACAGTCATCACAGATGCAACTACATCAAGCCTATCTGCTGCAACAGCAGCAGAAAGCCGAAACTGATGATGATATGCATCAACTTTACCGAAAACATCCTCACTGCAGCAACAACCCAGTGAACTTATATAATTCTTCGGCTCATGAACCAGATATGAATTCTTCTCCAGTTAAGAATCATTCAACTCAAAATATGATTAACAGACAATCTCTGCAAAGCATACATCGATCACCTGAACATTCCCCATCTCACTCACCACCTCTCAACAGTTCCATACTCAGTCTGCATCGATATTCTCCACCGCACATCACTTCTATCAACCATCTCCATCATCAACATTCATCAGCAGCAGCAACCTCAACAAATCATCTTCAGCCGCAACAATATTCACCAGGTTTTTCCCACCAACAATACCAACAACATTCTATGCCTGAACACCACTCACCAATTCAGTCATACAAATTACAAGCCACGCAACACATGGGTCACAACCACTCAGACATTGAAACTAGCTACCACCAGTTAAGGGATGATGACCACAAACAAGACATCCCCAACATTTCAGCGCCTCTGAATGGCAAGGTGACTAACTGTTCACTTTTGTAATGTCGCTTTTGATATTTTAAGTAATTATGTATAAAAAATAAATTTGTTGATTATTTTCAGTTACACTCTGTATATTATGAAGATGAAGATAAAGTAAATTCAGACAAGCACAAATTCTCAAAAAGATCGATTTACAAACCCAACGATGGTGCAATGCTTAGCAACATAAGCTTAACATCATCTTACCCTACATCATCAACCACAAAGTCAAACACATTTTATCAACCATTAAAAGAACCATTACAGAAAGCTCAAGCTACAAAAATCAGCTCTGATCTACTGAATCATACCTCTGCAAAAACCAAAAAATCATTAGCTGATGGGAGCAGCAAACCATCAATCACCAGCAGATACAGTACCAGCAGTCTACTCAGCAAAAATAAAGATAATGGGACGAGGCACAATCATTACAGTCCCATCGATGGAGAGTTGTTAAATAAAGAGGAACCAAGATTGTCTGCTCATTTGAATCAAACACTCGAACACATCGTCAGGCAGCTTGATATTTTAACCGAAGTATTGACCAGAATCATTTTATTTTATACAATATGCAATTTAATTTTATTACTTTGAAATTTTTTAGCCAGTCAAAAATAAATGCATAACTACTGTCTTACGCTGGTGATTGCAAAACTAGCAAGAGATTTATTTTTGCTGTAGATTTTACATGCAATCACTTTTAGAGGCCTCAACTGAAGCTAAGCAATATAGTCGGCCTGATGATTTGAAGGATGTAACCATATTTTATAAGCCATACTTATCATGAATTTTAGCTGCATATACAATTCTCTGCATCATTTATTACCAGACACAAGCAAGCAACTTGAATGCTCTGTTACTGAGTTTTATAACTGCAATTAAATAATTACATTTTTATACAAAAACCAGACAGTTTCCATCCTGGAGCAAAGACTGACAATGACGGAAACCAAACTTAGAGAATGTCTAGACAATCAGCAGAAACTTATCACCAAGACCAAATATTCATGAATGGTTGCTTATTAATTTTTAGGTAGAAATAGAGTATTCTCTACTTGATGGTATTATCCATTCGTATATGTAATTAATGGCCGTTGTGTGTAAATAATTATGTTATTTTATAATTTTAATGTTTTCAATCTATTGTTGCATGTGAATTTAATGAGTTGTTAATCTTGTTTTTATCAAGTTTCATCAAAATTTTTACCGAAATTGTCAAAACAAAAATAAACATATTTTATACTTTTATTAACAATACACGAATTTTAAATTGCATTTTATGCCATCAACATAGTCCCATTTTTGATTATACACCGTTCCTAAAAGAAATTAATTACTTCACAGGCTATTCGAAAGATAAAATCTATCTATTAATGGCCAGATTAATGTTATTACTGCTTACAATCATCACCTCATTATTTCACCACACCACGCACGTCATCAAACGGTGACATGGTCTATTTGAGTGCTGCAGCACCAGAGATGATCTCAACAAGTTCATTTGTGATGACTGCCTGCCTCTGTCTGTTGTACTTCAATGTCAGTGCACCGATCATTTCACCTGGTTTCAATGGTAGTGATAAGTTATGTACAGCTGCACAGAGGAAAAGCATTGCTTTAATTTTTAATAAAAAATGAATGCAATGAATTAAATCAAATTAAAAAGTTGCTTAGTGCCAGGCTCAAATGCCCAAGCATTATAAAATATATTACTCGCTACATGGCATTCGCTACATGGCATAGCACAAATGACAATTCATAAGAGATGCCATAAAAACTAAAAACCAATTTTTTCTATTTGAAAAATCTTCTACTACAATATCTCCACAGCGGACTTACCTGCATTCTTTGTGGCGCTGTCCATGGCCGTCATTCTCTGACTTTGCTCACTGCAGGCTGATTCTTTAAGGGCATAAAATATCCTGCTAACTAAACTGAATTCCCTATAACTTCTGAGCACCTAAAATTAATAGAGTTTTGTTGAGTTAAAAAAACTGTTAATGCTAAAATTTTGAAAAAATTGGAGTATCTTCAAAAAACTTCATGAAAAACCTCTTCATCAATGCTATCATATAAGTTTAATTTTCCTGCTTGACTGAAGTTATCTGCATTTACGATTGGTAGATCCTTCGTGTTGTAAGCTACAACTGATCTTAAGTGCAAGTTCATTGATTAATTGATTAATAAAATAAACACCAGGAGATCAAAAGAGGTTGATGAAGCTTTAAGCAATAATCAAAGCATGGGAGCATTTATTTTGAAAAACCGTTTGATGAAAACTAAACAAGAGTATGTGACCATTTGTACAGCATGAAAATTCCAAAACAAAAAAGAGCAATGCAATTAAAAAAATTTACTTACTTGAAGATATTGAAATATAGCTGACCATAATCATATTCATAACCAAGTTTCAAAATTTCAAGAGATATTTTGGCAGCATCTTCAAATACTGGTGGTTTCTTTCCAATGTCAACAAAGTGCATCAGCAAATCTTGGCCAAAAAACCTTAATTTAAAGTTCTCTCATTAAAGAATAAGTACCAAAAAAATATCATTTATTTTAATTATTTTTGTGTGAAAACAGAAACAGATGACTTGTTAAGAACCTTGCAAGCATGCCTCTAGCCTTATCACCAATGGCAACGAACTTAACATTAGTACCAGGTGGTTTTAAGGGCACAGCTGCTTTGATAGCCCTGATGATGTTGGAGTGGGCAGAACCACAAAGACCTCTATCAGAAGTCATTGCTATGATCAAATGGTTTGGTTTTTTCTCATCCTGAGTTACTTCTGCTTTTTCATAGAATGCTGTTTTGAAAAAATCAAACTAGAATGTTTAAAACTAATTAAAACTTTTTGTTAAAACTTAAGTACTTTTCATTTTTGAAAAAAAAAAAATAAACATTTAAAAAACAAATGGTCAAACCATTAGCCCCAGCACCATATGCTCTGGCGGGTCTTAGTTCTCTTTCTGCTTTGGCATATTTGGCGGCTGAAACCATCTTCATTGATTTTGTAATCTTCTGAATATTTGTTACAGCCTTCAAACGAATTGAAACTGTAACGAATGATATAAAAATACAGTATTAAATATTAACAACATACAAAATTATAAGTCACAAAAAAGTGTTGAAATCATTAACTAACTAGCTTTCAAAGTAGCCATATTTCGAGTTTGGCAACTGAAAATTGAGTAAAATAATTGAAATTTTCATTAGTTAAAAAAAAATTAACTATGGCAGCATAAAAAATAATTTAAAATTGTCAAACTAAGAAAATTTTCAAAAGTTTAGCCAGTGTAATGTTGACATGATCTAAGAAAGTAACTTTATGTTTATTGTATTAATAATTAATACAAAGAAGTTATTTCCTTTGATCATTTAATAATGAATTGAAATAATAATTTAATAAAATAATAGCTAAAATGATTTTAGATTAATTCATTAATAAAATTATTAAAAAATTAAATGTATTTGTTTAAACTTTAAAAACTATTTAACAAAAAATTTAGTCATGTTATTACAGAGTATAATACTATTATTATTATTATTATTATTATTATTAGAAATAGCTCGGGCATAGCCCATTGCCAACCAAATAAAAATTAAAAAATCAAAAGTAACAAAAGTAAACCCTTAAAAATTAAAACTGATTAAGATAAAAATCAAATTGTCATTATAAAATTAAATGAGTTAGCTTCATTAGATGTTTAACAAAGTCATTACAGTGGCAATCAAACAGGAAATTGAATCAACAACAAAATCTGTCTAGTTAATACAATCACAAATATAATAAAAAACCAAAATTGAAGTCGAACCAAAACAAAGGGATTTTTAACAGAGAATATAAAAAATTGAGTCAACGAAAATTTAAATTTATAAATATAGGAAAATAAACAAAAGACACAACATTATTGAGATTATCAGAAATTATCAGAAATTAGCCCTCCAATCAAACATGACATTTCCAAAAAAATTGTCTATTGCCGATTTAAAACCACATAGAGAGGATGAATTTACAGCAGCTGAGGGCAATTTGTTCCAATCATCAACTGATCTGTTAGAAAAGAAATACTTCCTACTGTCTTTGTGGCAAGCACCTGTAGTTAACTTCAGATTGTGACCTCGAGTTTGATCATAACAAGAGAACATTACCCTTGGACTGATATCCTCCATAATTTCCCCATGGATTATTCTATACAGCAATATGAGATCAGCTCTACGACGCCTGTAGGCAAGAGAGGGCAAATTAAGTTTCTTTAATCTATTTTTATATGGAAGTTCCTTGCAAGAATTCACTGTTCTCGTAGCTCTTCTCTGAAACTTTTCAATTTCATCTATCAAACCAATTCTATAAGGATGCCATGCTTGTACGCCGTACTCTAGGTGCGAACGAACCAATGACTTAAACAAGGTTACAAATGCTGCCTCGGAAAGGTGTTTGAAATTTCTGGCAATAATTCCAAGCATACTATTTGCTTTATGAACTACCTTTAGCACATGATTTTTAAACTTCAACTTGTTGTCAATAATAACCCCCAGATCAGATACTTCCTCAACCTCAGGTAACTGAAATGTCAAACCATCATCATCTAGTATAGTAAATGGCGGGCTTGGTTTATTCGATCCTATTCTTAGGAGCTGACATTTGTTTGAATTCAACTTCAACCTCCAAGTTTTAAACCAATTCATCATGTTCACAAAATCTTTCAAAAAATTTATTTTATCTTCCTCACACTTTATTACTTTAAATAATTTTGCGTCATCAGCGTAAAGGAACATATTATCACAAATGGAAAAAACGTCATTAATATAGATGAGAAATAGCAGAGGACTTAGAACACCACCCTGAGGGACTCCACTCAAGACAGGTCTTGGTTTCAATAAAGTGTTGTTTATTATAATTATTACTATAATTTGTAATAATTGGCTTAGAATCTTAGATTAATGATAGCTCTTTAGTTTATTTAGTAGTAAGTAGAAGTAGACTAATAAAATTTAATTAAATCAGTTATTAAATCTCTTTTGCTACACATTGACCTTGATAACAAAATTTACATACAGAAACGCTTAACTGAAACATTTAGTTTTACGGAAAAATGTCAAATTTATAAAATAGTAGCAGTAACTAACCATTGCGCCGGGATCGGAGCATTTGCTACCGATTTTAAAGGCGACAGAACTTTATTGCTCAGCGCCATTTTAAACCATAGACAGCTACCGTGTGCAAAAAACAACCAACCAAGAACTATAATAAAATTATTTAAAATGTTTTCCGATGTGTTGAACTCATTGGGTGTACTGTTTAGTCTCTACTTGGTTTCTGGTCACTACCATTTATACCTAGACCACTTACTTGCATACATACTTAACAAATACAATGATTCATAGGAGGCTTGCTAATACACTTGTTTTGTAAAGGAACCTTGTCATAAATTAAACTGTGTTTTTGAAAAAAGACCTTTTTTAAATTTAGTATTAACATTAAATCTTTTGGTGGTTTATTTATATTTTTTTATTTTATTAACACTTTATAATATAAATTTGCTAGTCATCAACATCACCAACCTCTGTAAATAGTTTAACAATAGATAACGTATCGTGTTGCGATGAGCGTGTGAAAAGCACATTGGTAAATGGGTCGAAAAATTTTTTGCATATTAAAAAACTTTAGCTTACGGTTCGTTTTATGTATATAAACATTTTTGCATGTGTCAACTATTATAATAAAAGGATAAGATAACAAAGCCAAATAATAGCGTTATATCCTAAAATAAATATAGGTACGTATCATCGTGGCCAGTGATCGGACAAATGGACACTTGAATTTTAATAAACAAACCTGAAGAAATTTATTTACAAATAAACTTTTAAACAAGAAGAAGGTAAGAAAAGCCAAAGGTTCTCTTTGCCGATGCATTACAACACGGAAGCTGGTGAAAATATATACCAATTTGCTTAATTATTTATAACAATAATTTAAAAAAATTTGTAATAACGTGTTTTTAATTTTTAAACAAATTTTAACAAACTGTAAGAAAGCAAATTACATTGGTCAGGAAGTTGATTTTGCAGAGTGACATAGCAGCCATGATCAAGACAGTGGACACCATCCTTCAAAATGGGATTTCCTTTTTCTTTACCTTTAATAAAAAAAATTAGCTTTCATTTACACATTAATGAAAATATATAAATAATTAAACAAAACTGCATCTGTTTTTCCGGTTTATAAAATAAGTATGTAAATTATATTTCATATAATTATCTATGTATTTCTATTCTGTGCTTGTAAAGTAGGTTTCATTACTTTGGTATCATCTTATATATAAATGCAAATAGCACGTGGTCATATTTTGTTATTGCACGTGGTAATATTTTATTATTGTTGGCTTTGTGAACGATCCTGGAATTTAATTTTTCTATTTTAGGTTGGTTATTCATTTATAATTTCTGTAATGTTTCATATTGTTTCAATTGATTTTATTTATGTTCTTTATTCACTCATTTGGATTTTCTATTTTAGATTAATAAATCAGGTTATTCGAAAGCAAACTTATAAATTAAATTCCAAAAAAGAAGATGGCTTCAATATCCAGTAAGTTGTATTTTCATATTATTAAAAGAAATAATGACGAATTTGAATTAGCGGGCATATCGGAAAATAAAGAATGTCCTACCTGAAGAGATGAAAGATTTAAGTTTGCACGAAGCTCTATCTACGAAGCGAGCAATAATAAATACAATTAATTCTATCAAACCTATCAACGGTTATCGCAAAATTTGCATCAAACTCGATGATGAATTGAGAAAAAAATATTACGACGAAGACGAAAATCTATGTTTTTTAGATAATATGTTAGAAGAAAAAATTATTGATAATAAACATAGAGATGAACCAGATGACAATTTTTTAAATGAACGAATTAAGGAATTAGAAGCTAAGCTAAGTCTGAATGATAACTTTAAGCTGCAAGACGTTGAAAAAAAATTTATTCTGGAAAAATTCAACAAAAAGCAAAACCCTACTGAATGGATAGAGAAATTTGAAAATGAATGTAGAAGGCATAAAATACTGAATTCTACTAATTTCATAGAAGCATTACGCTTCTTTTTATCTGGGTCACCGGAAGATTGGTACGAATCAAATTTAAAAAAGATCGGCTTAACTAATTGGTAAGAATGGAGAAAGTCCTTTCTGACCATTTTTGCAGATAGAGGTTTGAAAAAAATAAGAACCGCATATAATTACAAATATTATAATATATATCTTTAATAGACTATGCCTTAGCGAAGGAAAACCTATGTTTAGAAATTGAAATGTCAAGAATAAACATGATCGTTATGGGCCTTCCTGTAGAAATACAAAACCAGCTTGATAGAGAAAAAATAACGACCATTGAGAAACTGTTCAAAAAACTAACAAAAATTGATGAATGTGTTTCTAACATCAAGCCAAAATATGACAATAAATTTTTAAGTAATGAAATATCATACAATATACAAGACAAAGCAACTTTATCAACACAAACAGGGATATGAAAATGTAGACAAAGAAATTTCGGTACCAAAATACAAAGTAGAAGCAAAGACCCATAATACTCTAAATAAACAAAATCAAAGACATGAAAATAACACTCTAAATAAAGAAAATTTTGTTAGACCAAATTTTATCAGGTCAGAGAAGAATATTAATACCACAGCAAATAAACCATGTTTTATGTGTGAAGAATTGGGCTGGAAAAATCGATACCATCCAACAAATGAATGTAGAAATAAGACTCTTTACTCATCAAAAAGAGAAATTAATATTCATGACACTAACTACCAAACAGATGACGAAGCACATATGATGAAAATTAAAATTGACAAGAAATCTTTAAACTAGAAAGCCCGAAAAAATTGAATGCACTAATAAGAGTAAACGTAATAATCGATAATAAATTAAAAGTTAAAGCGGTTTATGATAGTGGATCAAATATAAGTCTAATAAATAGGAAAATCATAGATTTTTTAAAACTAGGCTTAACGAATAATAAAAGTACTTTCAAAACCATCAGTGGGCTCAATTTTAGTTCGGCCCGGGCAAATATAGTTGTTAAGGTTGGTAATTTAATGGATAATTTAAATACATACGTAGTCAAAATTAATAATTTTTCCTATGATCTATTACTGGGTCTAGATGCAATAAAAAAGTTCAAACTAATTCAAGATGAAAATTTTAACATTCTACAAAGAATTGATAAAAACCCTAATCAAAATAGAAGAAAGAGATAAGATGAATAACAATCACAACATGGTTAAATCAGATGAACTGACTGACAACCAATTTAATCTACAAAAAGCAGAAAAAAATAATTTAATTAAAATTTCAGGAGTCAATTTTAATGAAAATATGAATAAGACAATGTGTGAAAATTTAGATCACATTGAAGATGAAAATAGAAGAAAAGATATTTTAAATTTAATAAACAAGTACAAACATATGTTTGCAAAAGCCAAATATGATGTAGGAAAAGTGAAATCGAAAGAAGCAGAAATAAAATTAACCAGAGATGAATATGTAACAGCAAGACCATATAAATGTAAATGTTCCATAGTTGATGAAGAGGAAATCAAGACTCAAGAAGTTATTAGAAGCTGATTTAATTGAAGAATCGGAATCCCCTTATGCCTCACCATTAACTCTTGCTTTTAAAAAAGATGATGGTCGTCGGACAAGACTTTGCATTGATTTCAGACGATTAAATAAATTAGTTGTTCCTGAATGCTATCCATTCCCTACTACTAATGATGTCATAGATAAAGTACCAAATTGCAAATATTTCACTGTACTTGATATCAATTCTGCATTTTGGTGTATATTATTAAAAAAGGAAGATAGAGAAAAGACTTCTTTTATAACTAAGTATGGAAAATTCATGTTTAAGGTTTACCCTTTGGTCTTAAAAATTCTCCAGCAACTTTTCAACCTATTCTATCCAGTATCATAAGAAGAAATAATCTGGACAATTTTTGCATAAACTATATTGATGACATACTTATATTTTCACGCTCTTGGGAAGAACACATTATTCATATTGAAGAGACTCTACAAATTATCACAGAAGAAGGTTTTAAATTAAAATTAGAAAAATGTAAGTTCGCTGCTAAAACCATTAAATATCTTGGACATTTTATTCTAGAAAATAAAGTAGCACTAGCTCAAAAAAATTTAATCGCCATCAAGAATCTTAAGAGACCAACAGATAAAACAGGAGTTAGAAGTGTGTTAGGATCTATTAACTTCTACCTTAAATACATCGAAAATAGTGCTCAAAAATTTGAACCACTGCATAAGCTCTTGAAGAAAAATGTTAAGTTTCATTGGTCCCAAGATTGTGAAGATTCTTTCAACTTGATAAAAGAATATTTATGTTCTCAGCCAATCTTAGCCATTTACGATAAAACCAAAGACACTTATATTGAAACTGATGCCAGTTATAAAGGAATGGGAGCTACTTTGAAACAACTACACCCTGATGGTATGTTACATCCTGTCGCATACTTCTCAAGAAAATTATCAAAAAAAGAAAAGAAAATGGACATCATCCATCTTGAATGCAAAGCTATCAAAGACGCAATAAAATACTGGCAATATTATTTGATTGGTCGTGAATTTGTTGTTTGTAGTGACCACAAACCTCTTGAGAATCTAAAAACGAAAAGTAGAACAGATGAAATATTGGGCGATTTAGTGCACTATTTGTCTCAATTCAACTTTAAAATTATTTATAACAAAGGAAAGGAAAATATAATGGCTGATTTACTTTCTCGATCACCGGTATTAGAATATTTTGAAAATGAGGATGCAGTCTAAGTTGTAAATTTAATTGAAAGACCTGAAATTCTTCAGGATCAAAATGAAAACATGACTGAATTAAAGAGTGCCAAGAAGATTGAAAAACAAAAAATTGAATGACAAATCAAGGATATTTGTTTCTGATAAATTTGGTTTAAGAATAATAAAAAAGGTACATGAGTATTATGGACATATTGGAGCTGGAACATTGAAAGAGAAAATAAGACCATTTTATTATTTCAAAAACTTTGATCAACTAATTGAAGAATTTTGTAAAAGTTGCACTATATGCTTAGAGAACAAAACTAGAAGAAATAGAATCATCGGATTAATGTCAAAACTAGGACCCGCGACAGAACCATTCCAAATTATGTCCATTGACACAGTTGGTGGATTTGCCGGTAATATGTCACCAAAGAAATATATGCATATTTTGGTAGATCATTTTAGTAGATATGCTTGGATTTCCACTACAAAAAGTCAATGCGCAGCAGATTTCATAAAGTTAATTGATCCGATTGCTAAGAAAAATAATATTAAAATACTTTTAGCCGACCAGTACACCGGAATTAATTCTACAGAACTAAAACAGTATCTAAACAAGATGAATATTCAAATGGTTTTTACCTGCGTAGATTGCCCTCAATCAAATGGACTAAATGAAAGACTAAACCAAATACTTGTAAACAGAATAAGATGTAAACTTAACAGTGGAAAAAAACAGGCATGGTCCGTTGTTGCAGACGAATGTGTCAAAGAATACAATCGGACAATTCATAGTTCCACGAAATTTGAACCTGAATACTTATTATACGGCATAAAGTCAACTATCACTCCATATGACATACCGGGAAGCGATTTAGCTGCAGATAGAATACAAGCCGGTCGAAATTCTATGCAAAATTTTGAAATAAACAAGAAAAGGGTTGACAAAAATCGTCAAGAGTACAAATTTGAAGTGGGCAATCAAGTCTATATCCAGAATGGGAGTAAACTTAATAGAGGTAAAATGGACAGAATAAGAGTTGGTCCGTTTAAAATTCTTGGCAAGATTTCACCGTCGATCTTCGAAGTAGACTGCGGAAAGAAGAAGAAGGAATGTTATTTTTTTCACATTAATAAATTGTCACTTTATGTACCTCAAAAAGTGACTTGAGGGAGAGAGATGTAAATTATATTTCATATAATTATCTATGTATTTCTATTCTGTGCTTGTAAATTAGGTTTCATTACTTTGGTATCATCTTATATATAAATGCAAATAGCACGTGGTCATATTTTGTTATTGCACGTGGTAATATTTTATTATTGTTGGCTTTTTAAACGATCCTGGAATTTAATTTTTCTATTTTAGGTTGGTTATTCATTTATAATTTCTGTAATATTTCATATTGTTTCAATTGATTTTATTTATGTTCTTTATTCACTCATTTGGATTTTCTATTTTAGATTAATAAATCAGGTTATTCGAAAGCAAACTTATAAGTATTATAAGTTTATGAATAAGTCCATGTGGACAAAAAATCACTAACTTATAACTTGAGCTGTCAGCAACAGGGTGTACGACCTATCATCGTTCGCTATTAAATTCAGCTGCTCAACCATGTTCAAATCTTGGTGTGCTTTCAATGTTACTAACATTCGGTGTTTAGTATCTAGAGTAAATAAGTCATATAAAAATTAAAAACCTTAAAGGGAAACTATTTTTATTAACGATTATAAACAGAAGTATAAATAGTCATACAGCTATATATAGGAAATATTTTTTACTAACGGTTTGTATTTGGTTCGATTTCGTTGAGGTTACAGTTTTCGTGGTTGTTGGTGCAAACGATGCATTCACCCAAGTATTTGTTTACCTCGATCGCTATTTTGTATCTGGTAATGATATATCGGTTGCGTTACGAAATGTCTCCACATGCATAATAAAATTGACGTTCTTTTCTCATTAAACAACAAGCTACTTACAATAATTATCATATTCCCGCTCTATAATATAAAAAGCACAAACTATATATATATATATATATATATATATATATATATATATATATAGACACACACACATGCATGCATGCGTAAATGTTGATAGCATCGTCAAAATATTTTATTAATGTGAGTTGGCGCCTACAAACAAAATAATTCTTGATTGTTGGAGCTAGCGAATGTCGTCTGACAGAGAGAGCAGCTTTGACGTGTTGTTCCCGACTTTGTATATTTTTTCGTGCGTGTTGAAACCCTTAGTAGCTAGCAAAAGACTAAAAAACCCCTGCATGATATTCTGAACTCTACTTAGATTACAATTAAGTTGAATGTAGTGTGTACGAATCCTGGCTTTAATTGCTTGAGTTAACATTATACTTAACTTCTAAACTAAACGAAAACATAACGACGAACAAATATAAAAAACAAAAATTATAGCAATATTTAAACACACGCGCACGCACACACACGTACTTATAGTTAAGTTGCAGGAAGCCTAAATGAGCATCGATCACGTTGCTTTTCATCTCCGCCAGCAAAAAGTTGCTGACCCGCTGGTTGTCCACCACAAATTTGACCCTAGAACATTTGTGGGGGGACAGCTCTTCTAACGATTAAGTAAGTTACTTTATATATTTTTTGAGATCTTTAATGAAAACGTGAATCACGAACCTTTTTTTTCTGCCATTGCGTTAATAATATTGTTTATATTTTGAAAAAACAACAACGTAATAGTAAATAAGTGATAGCGTTAAAATCTCTTTTAAAATATTTTTAAGAACCTGTATTAACGCAGTTTCCCGGTTCGAAATTAAGAAAAATAAATTTTCATGAAGGTTTTTTCAACTTTTATTCAAACAATTTAAACGATATCAACTGTACAAATTTTTTACGATCAATGAAATATGAAACAAAGAATTGTTAAGAACAAATCTAAGATGAATAGAGATAGAAAAGATCGAGGGACAGCGATGCGGTCTAACCATTAAATAGTTGGCGAAAGAGAGTTACCAAATTTATCATTAAACGACAAACACGATGATAGCAAAACATCAATAAAAACAAAATAAGAATTATTATTTTAAAAAACATTTATCATGGCAAAACAAAAAATAATAGATAATAAAAATAGGTTACTATTTATAACATCCGTGTAACTTCTTTTTATTTAGCGTGTATTAACACGACAGCTGCATTGTAATAAGTTAACGCACAGTTGAAGCTAGGCGCCTCTGAAACGACTGATTACTTACTTGCAACATAAATTGGTAATAAAAATACAAACTCGATAAAAAATTATAAAAAATATAAGCATACAAAGAAAATATAATTAATAAGTAACGTTTCTTATATTGCATATATATAAATATAACATTAATTAACCATTTATAAAATTAAACATAAGCATTCAAAGTTTAACGTGAAATATGTTGAAATGAACATGGAACCACTTATATAACATGAGGCAAGTTGGTTTAAAATTCGCGGAAACATTGGTTAATGATAACAATTAGATTGATGTATTGTATTTAAAATGATTTTAATATCATTTTATTGCATTAATCTATCATTTATAGTTTTAGTTAGTGTTCATTTAATGTGAAATCCTCCATAATAGAAAATATTAAAAGATACATAAAATAAATCCACCAAAATTAACTACAAACGTAACTAAGAACGAATCTGTATGCCTGATAACATTGTCTGAGCAGTGATCTCTTTTCTATACTACAAAGCGCGTACTATTTCAAACAAATCTTTCGAAAATGAAAACCTAAAATTACAAATTCTGGTTCAGACTCAGATGATGATAAAAAAAAATCAATATATTTCCATCTGTTTGCTGTTTTGTATAGTGGACAACGGCCATATTCAACTTGTACAATTTGTTTGCTTAACGGAAAAAGGTCTACATAGTAAAATTATTAATAAATAAATAGTTGTAAAGATAAATTACATTAACGCAGTTCAACGAGTAGTCCAATGAAGAAATTATTACAGTTGTAACTGCAAGAAAATTAAATAAAGCTCACAAGAGTTACTGTCTCTTAATTCTAAAACTGCTGAAATATTTTTGAGGGTAGATAATAATATGAGTAGCAATCGTTTATATATACACACACAAATATAATCGATGGTCAGATGGCTATGAACAAGCGGATAGATACATAGACCTGACTATTATTGATATAAACAAACAACCGAACTATTCAACCACCCCAAGAACTATTTCTCAAACGCTTGGCTACTCAAATTTCATTGCAATAAATGGCAACTAAAGCTAACACTTTATTTATAGTTGGCCTGTGTTGGGCTACCCATACCTGGTTCGAATGCAAACAAAACCCATTCAACCTTGACATACGACATTTGTTAATTGTGTAACATAAGAAATTGTGCATTAAATAGTTATAGAAAAACTTTTTGAATCGTTGTGAGGGACATCCGATTTAACATACGAGGTAGAGCTCAATTAGTTCAGTTTTAATTTGAGATGAAGTTGTGATAGCAGACAGTGTTGCATTTGCCCGCCTCACTCAATGGAAGAGAACAACATATCAATAGTTGTGGATACATTCAGACTAGATATCAAACGATTGAAAGGACCATGGTGATGATGATATATGATGAGGATACTACAATCTATGCCAATTGATACCAGAGGTTTACAAATTGTAAAAATATGTTAACAAATGATGTAGTGATTGATGTTTTGAATTACACGTTAGTAAATACACGCGTATGTATGCATGTAAATATTATGTATATATATATTATATATATATATAAAGTTTATGCATTTTATAATTCAATACATCAAATTGACAGCGAATGAAAATTTCTAAATATTTAATAACATTTACTTTTAACAATCAAAAAGTTTAAAATGTATAATTCAAAAATAAAAAAATATTCAGATAGGCATATATTGACAAGGTAAATAGCATAAAAAAAAAACAGAAAAAGTTTGTTGTGCACTACGTTACTGTAATGTAACGTTAATTCATCTGAACGTTGAACATGTTGATCAATCGAATCATCAATCATCAGCTGCAAAAACCATACTATCGCCACAAACAATGTTGCAAATTGAAAAATAAATGTAGTAAATAACTAACTCATTATCGCTAACAAATGTCATTTAACTATTACGACAAGCCAAATAAATAATCATGATTACAAAGGAAAAACTGGTTCAAATAAAACCATGTCAATGATATTTCATACAATTGATTTCATGATTTCAAAACAAAAAAAATAGTTAAGAATTAGTAATGTAACAATTTTGCATTCAAACAACTTTTTACAAAACTCAACCCAATTTTTTACGCTGTACTTCTGGAAATTACCATAAACTCGTTATCCTTATCACCAGCAACATCCTCACCCCTACCAGTACCATCAACATCAGCATGGTTGAATGCATCATACAGCTGCTGCCACCTTCCCTATCACCTGGATTCATTCGTTGTTGCATCGTTCAATTTGTTATTGTAATTACGTATTTGTGAAATTTGATAAAAAAAATTAACTATACACGTTATATAATAGATAAAAATGAATGAAAAATCAAAATATTCATTAATCAACCAGCATAGAAACAAACGACCATCCAAACAACAAACCACAACTACACACACTCACACAACGCACATGTGCACAGCAACAACAAAACAACGACACAAAGACATGTTGATAAACCTTGTTGAGGTCGATGCCAGTGAGAGCCTGAACGGTCGGAGGCATGGAAGCTAGCAGCCTGGTGACTTCTGAGGTTGATCTGTCATCTCCAACTATCACAATCTCACCCGTCTTCGCCAGTGGAGCTGCAATCTCAGCTGCAATCTGTCAGTAAATCATTCATATCTTGGATAAACAAATAAAATAATGCCATCAAATGATAACATTTAGTCTAAGTGTGAAAAAACTCTAATTTGTTAGAAAAATAATGGAATATTCAAAACTGGTATAATGAACAAAACTGGACACAATTTCTTAGCAGTCAAGAAATAATAATTTTAATTTTATTAAAATGAAAGCAACCTTAGGAAGAGTTTCAAGGACCAAACTAAGCATGGCAGCTTCTCCATACTGCTTGTAGGCAGATGCTTTCAACCTCATCTTTTCAGCTTCTGCTTTGCCCACAGCTTCAATGGCAGCTGCCTCTGACGAACCAATCAGACGTATCTTCTCGGCATCAGCTTTTGCTTCTTCAACTGTCTGGGTCCTGTGGGCAAATTTTTTAACATGGACATGTAATAATTATAATACAGCTTCTAAGAGATAACATGGTTAAACAATATTTAATGCAATAGAAAATACGAAACCGTTTTAATTATTTGATGAAAAGTAACAAACAAATCACATTTATCAAATATCACCCAAAAAATTTCATCAACATACTGGACAAACATCATTATAACCATCTTTACGTTTGCACATCAAATTTAAAATTTCAACACACAAAATGTCATCACAATGATAACCACTTAGCACCTAAATCATCTGCACAAACAGAGAACCTACAAATCACATCTACCTCTTTCCCTCAGCAATGGCTTCCATTCTGAATGCCTCAGCCTCAGCAGGTCTCTTGACGAGTGAGATGAGCTCCTTCTCCTTCCTCTGTATCTCCTTCTCCTCCACTTCAATCATCTTCCTGCGCTCAACAACTTCAATCTCCATTTCCTCGCTACGAATCTTCTGCTGTTCCTTGGCCGCTTGCAACTTGTACGCAAGCTCAGCTTCTGCTTTCTATTGCAGTTATGATGATAATCATATAATCATGGAGATGTGGTTAAAGATTTTTTGAAGCAATGATCATCACAATTACAGCAATATTTTTTATCATTTTAAGTTGTTAAACCATGCAGCGAGAGTAATGTTAGTGCTTATCAAGTTTACTCTTCCAATCATTCAAACACCACCATTACAATATCTATCTAACTGACCCGTGCATTCACTTCAATGTTGAAATTTGACTTCTGCATTTCAAATTCCCTGAGAGAGTTAGCAATTTTGGTGTCAGCAACATACTTCACATCCATCTTTGCCTTCTCACATTCAGCTTCCTGGTATAAAAAATATATAAATTCAATAGAAAAATTGTTTCATCTGATAATTCATTTTTATGATTCTCTTCATAATTTAGTTTTAATTTCTTTGCTAAGCAAAAAAGATTCAACATGTCATCCTGTACTTTTGACTGACTGTGGTGTTATTTAGTTTACATAACTTTACACTTATAATATGCATCATGTGAATGCTAATTTAATTTTTATAAAAATAAAATTTTTATATTTCCACTTTTGAATGATTTGTTTGAACTTTACAAGTTGTGAAAGATGGAATAAATTGACACTTTAAAATAAATATGAGACATGAAACTACCACTTTTAAATTGGGGATTAAATGTGTTTTCAATAGATTTTTTAACTAATTTTAATAACTGTTTTACACATTTAAAATTTTTTTTAAATAGTCAACAAAAGGAATGCTATACAACAGTAGCACAAACAAGCATACAAACACCTTATCATATTGATGCAAATAATTATCATATAAACAAATTTCCATTTTGCAGTCATGACGATTTTACAAGTAGGGAGTAGCTCAGAATTGAGTATTTAACTCATTGTTAGCTGCTTAAAAACTGCACAGATAATTATAAACCAAACTATGATCCAAAAGAAATGATGAACTGATGTAGAACCAGTAACATGGTAAACAAATTCAAGTGAGGGGTTGAAAATTGTAAAGTAGAAAAAAAGATAAAGTACCCTGATGCCTGCATCTCTGTTAGCTTCAGCAACACCAATATCTGCATCTCTTTTAACATTGGCAGTTTGAGCACGACCCAATGACTCTAAATATTCAACACTATCAAATACATCTTTAATGGTGAAGCTGAGTATTTCAATGCCCATCCTTCCAACATCGGGCGATGCTACCTCTCTCACCAATTGAGCAAACTGGTCTCTATCTTGATAAATTGCCTCCACAGATAAAGTACCTAAAACAAATTATGATTAACGGTCTTAAGGACTATAAATTGACAGTGTTTGAAAATTTACTTTAATTCCAAAAATTAATTTGGTTTGAAAACTTTAAAGAAACAAGTCAAATTTTGAAACATTTAATTTAGAATTTAAGAATTAAATTTATTGAAAATTACCTAGAATAGCCCTGAGGTGACCCTCCATAGTTTGCAGTATGACTCGTTCAATGTGCTGCACCTGCTTGCCCAGGAACTGTTCGCAAGCAGTGGCCAGGAGTTCAGATTCTGTTATAACCTTGACCTGGGCTACTCCTGTCACTGTCAGTGGCACTCCTTCAGAAGTTTCAACACTTTCACAGACTGGGTTCAAGGTCATGACCTCCAATGAGATTCTGCAATTAAATCACACACATTGACATTAAAAAATTTCCATTTGATAATATCTATGAAATGCAGAAAAAAGTAATAAATAGCAAATTCAATTAAATAACAAAAATTTTCATTCAATGACAAGTATAATATGAGCTATAATACTACTCAATAACATTACGAAAGAATTCATTGGGTTATAGAAAAGTTGATGATTCATATCATAGTTATTTCAAGCACATGCAAACCTTTGAACGTCTGTAACAAACCACCATGCCCACCCCCAGCCACCAATGATAGTCCTCTTGTTCTGGGCACCACAACAGCCACCTGCAATCAACCATTTTTAACTATTTTCTACAGAATTTGGCACAATTTAAATATTAGAATGAAAAATAATACATAAAAAACATTTTCTACTATATGTGGCTCTGACAAATTTTGAACAACTTGAATTAACATTCCATGGCAAACTTTTATGCAATACACAAAATGATTTTTGACATATTTTTTACAAAATAGGCTTATTTATAATTTTGATACATTTTCTTCTCATCCTTCTATCATGGCATGTTGAATATTTTAAAAATGAAAATTAACAAATCATGAGAGCTATTTTTATGCTTTACAACATTCGTAAGCTGACTAAACTCTATTATTTTTCAGTTCTATACTTAATTTATAATTACATTTTTAATTTTGTCAGAGATGTCGTACATTACCCTCACATACATAGCCACTGCATGCAAAGCATATTGTTTTATTACATGCTAACACATACAATACAACACTTACACAATTGTAAACTTCAAAAATATAAATACCAGATAATTAAATGTTGCAAGAACCAGTTTGACATAAAAAACTAATCAATCAGACTTAGTACTCTCCCAACCTTACTGTTGGGCTATCCAGAATTGAGAATATGATCTCATTTTCCCCCAATTTATTTATGATAAAATATACATACAGCATAGCTAGCTAACTTAACTAACATATTGGAAACTATTTGGTTGATTTGATCAAATTTTAATGTCAAAAATTATTATAATATTACCCAAATAAAAATATTTGACAATTAGTAATCAGTAATGAATAATAATAACAAAATCTTTTTTAAATTTTGATCATAATGTTGATGAGGATTGATGTGAAATTTGGAAAAACGTAACGTTGACGTTGAAACCTGATATAACTAGAGCTTCGTTCGGACCGACAGTATGAATGTTTCCCATCTTTTTAACTTTCGAATTTAACTTTAAAAAATATCAATCAAAATATCATACCTCGCGAAATAAATACAAAATGCAACAATTATCGAAAAACACTTCGTCACGTGATGACGAAATGTTATGCGATTGGTTGATTCTGGGTCTGACTAGCTGGAAATTTAATAAGATTTACTTGCATTTGTATACATTTTTACATACAAAAGTATAAACATATATAAACACACATTTTTGTATAAACACATATATTACAGTACATAAAAACAACCTACAAAACATATATGTAAATATACACATACGACAGCAGTGCTTATTCATTCAAAAACAGTAATTTACGTTGTTTGTGCTATATTTGCACTTTACTCATGTTTTATTTATTAATTTATGAGAGGGAGAAAAGTAAATGTACGTGCATACGATTCAACGATGTGTGGAAAAATCTGGTTATGACATTTTTTTTCAAAATTTTAATCATCAGTACCCGTAATTTCAATAGTATTGATAAGGTATTTCAAAGTAAATGTGACAAATCTTTCAAAGTTTATTCAACATGTCTTTAATTTAGTTTGGGCAGATGATGACAGTAACAATGAAATACATAATAAATTGCATTATAACGCTATCCACAAATATCGAGTGATATTCTCATAATGGTATGGCATCGAATGTTATTGACTGATTGATAAGTAGAATACAATTTAAATTAAAATTTATTCCCAATCAAACACGTGCTAATGAAATAAAACTTGTGATTACATTGGCAAATATATATTATATATCTATATCTTATATACCTTATATGCTGTTAGAAGACCGAATTTTTGACAATATGTAATAAATTCCATCCATTTATTAATGTTTATCAACTTACATTCGAACTTTTCTATTTGTCTCAGTAAATTTTTATCTATCTATCTATCTATCTATCTATCTATCTATCTATCTATCTATCTATATATATATATATATATATATTAGTAACACATATATATATATATTAGTAACTTATATATATATTAGAAACATATGGTGGAAAGAGAAAGCAGGCCCTTACTTCGATTTTTCAAAAATCGAAATAAGACCTATCTGCAGTTTTATTAAATTTTCTTGATGAACTTGGGTAATAATTTTATATTCAATAAATTGAACAATTTCTTGAAAATTCTAGTAAGAAAAATTGAAAAGACAAACTTTTAATTGATTAATGCCAACAATTCTGTAGGATTCATACAATTCTGTATAAATAATAACATATTACATTATACTCTATACATATGGCCTCAACCAATGTTAATTCTATAGTCAAGTGCTTTTAGGATGTTAGAATCGTTAGGTACTGTTACGTTGCTGAGGTAATAAATTATATCGACCGGTTTCAAATGGTTTTAAAAATATCTTTTTTGTAGCGGTGTTTAAAAAAATTGTAAAGCAGAAGTCAGAAAATTATTTATCCAGCTCCGAAAACATGCACGTAACAAAAAAGGGTTTTAATTACCTAAACAAGCAGCTGAGTTGAACGCCTTTATTTAAAAACTATAAAAAACGTCAAGAGATACTTTTTATACCATGTTGTAATTGTAATACAGAACTCACTGACGATCTGAAATAAATTACAATTTTTTGTGTGAAACTTTAGCAAATGTTTTGTTAGGTTAGGAGGTGATACATAAGAAATTTTATCCAAGTATTCGTATATGATCCAAACACCAGTTATAATCATGGATGTTTTGGTTATAGCGGTTCCATGGTTATAATGATTGTGACGTCACTGTTGATTGTTCTTTCAATAAAGTTTATATAAAGATAACAATTCTAAGTATATGATGGTAACGATATAAAAAAATGCCATTTTTAAAGACCATGTTTAAATCTAAGTGTTTTATATCTGGCTTCATATATATAGAATATAAAATTAATTATTCTAAGTGCATGAGCTAGGAGGTCAACTTTTTGGCTGAAATTTTCAATCAATTTTTTTTACAGAAATTATTTAAGCAAATTAAACATTCTTACTCCGTTATTTATTTTTCGTTATCATTTTATACTATGCCTTAATTGTTGTAACAGTTGCTGTTTTTTTAAAGAATAAAAAAATTAACTTTTAAACAAATTGTCGAAGGTATACGTATCATCTATCTAGTATTTATCTATCGTTCTCATCGTCGTTCGAAATGTTTTTGCGGTTTCAATTTTTCGCTTAAAGTTTCGTCATCAATTTTGTGGTGTTGTAATTTAACTTGACAATCACCAGTACTTTTAATTACGACTAAAAATAATATCTACAGTATAAAAAATGTACAATCAAAATCGTGAAAGGAGGCAGGGATTCGCACTGATGCTTCTTTTCGGTCAGATGGCCCAAATTGGTTTTGACCAAATACCTCCGGTTACATTAGTTATGATCCTCGGACAAGTTGCCATATTTTTGAGACTGTTTAAGCTTCCATTTCGGTTTGACGTGGAGGCATCCTGCATAAGCGCCTTGCATGTTTGGTACAGAGAGGACTACTTGAGACTGATCTTGGGAGCCCTACAGCACGCAGACGAGTGGCATTTGTATTATAACATGGTATCAATGCTTTGGAAAGGCAGAAAACTTGAACAAAAAATGGGAAGTGTCAAATTTGCTGTGCTGTTACTGATATTTACTCCTTTAGTTGGAATTACATTACTGTTGCTTACTGTGTTATCTGAACTTACAACAAATGACTCAATGTACATTTCTCAATGCCATGTAGGTTTTTCAGGTTATTAGTTACACTAATTTCATTAATTCTTTGATTGATAAAACATTAAATTTAAATATTATGATTCATTTTTTAAAGGAGTTCTGTTCGCTTTGAAAGTTTTAGTCAATCACTTTGAACCCGACAGCAGCCATATTGTTATGGGAATAATACCAGTCTCATCAAAATACATCTGCTGGGTTGAACTTGTTCTCATCCATTTTCTCGTACCAAACTCTTCTTTTCTAGGTTATTAAAAAATTTAATAATTACCTTAAAAACAGCTATAAAAATGTTGATGACATCTCTCAGGTCACCTGGCAGGTATTTTAGTAGGGGTCTGGTATATACATGGACCACTTCTATCTTCAATCATAGATGCACTATCTCAGCCATTGAAAGGTATCTTGATCAACTCATAAAAAGTTCAATTTTGATATAACTGATTAAATTTTAAAACTTTTGAAGATATGTTTCAGACTAATGCTCGTTTCCATCAGAACAGTAGATATTCTGGTTACCAGCATGGTGATTCATATCCGCACCAACCTTACTACAACCAACCACAGCCCGGACCAGACAGTTATCGAAACACATATGATGACATGGACCAAATAAGAGCTAGGAGGTTGAACAGATTTGACCGCTGACTTTTTTCTAACCCACTTTTAATTGTTCAAACAATTGTTCAAATGATTGCTGTACAGTATCTAAATATTTATTATATATATCTATAAAAATAAACTTCTCAGTTGCACTACTTTTCATAAATTTCTGAATGTATTTAAAAAAAAAATAAAATACACAAAGCGTTTACTTTTCAGATAATTATAATAACAACATTAAACATTGGAATATTATAATAATTTAATTCATGAATAAATGGTATTGAAGAGTAAGGTCAATTTTCTTTCTTGTTTGGACTCAAACTGGCATGCAAATTTAAAACTTCTTTTTCAAACGAATTCTCACACAACTGTCCCTCTTCATCAAAAAAATTACAGACTGACTTAACAAAATGACCAGATTTGTTCTTTTTTGAAATTCCATTAGTGTAAGAAATATGTAATTCGTATTTATCATCAAATCTGCAAAAAAATGAATGTTTAATAACACTGGGCAACAAAAAAAATATTTTTTTTGTATCCTTAACTTTTTTAGTCAAATTATACTAATTTTGGGGTAAGAAAAACGAAAATGCAAACGAAAATTTTTTATTAGCTCTAGTTTCTGAGATATACAACAACAAAAAATTTTTCGTTTTTCTTATTCACAGCATAGCAATATGACATATAATTTACTTATTTTAATAATATTTAAAGTGCATTCAGTTTTTTCAATAAAGATTACATTCTAACAGTTTTAAACAATGAAAGCTAATAAATACAAAGATCATTATAGAATATTTTCGCATGAGTGTTCTATTTTTGCTTTCCGCCTGTATGCGAGCTCTGGAGCATTCCTACATATAAACCAACATTAATCTGCAAGCATAGCTTCATTCCAACGACTCTGATATCTTTTTCCATTACAGAAATATCTTGGTGGGACCTTTCTCCATGTTTATCACTAACAGCTCCACAAAGGGGAAAGAAGTCTAAATGTGAGTGGAGGAAGTGAATCTTCAAGGACATGTTACATTTTAGTTGATGGAATTTTTGCAGAAGTACCATTACCAATTGGATGTAGTTATCATCTCTTCTGTTGCCTGAAAATCCACAAATCATTCCCTTGAGAGATTCCCAAGTTTCTTTTTCTTGCCCCTTCAAAACTTCATCAAATGCAGGATCTTTCACAAGTTCTTGTATCTATGGTCCAACAAAAATACCCTCTTTAACTTTTGCATCACTTAGTTTTGGAAATTTGTTTCTTAAATACTTAAAAGCCAGTCCTTCTTTGTTCCTTTGACAAAATTTTTCATTTAACCCAGCTTAATGTGTAAGGATGGAAGAAGTACATCTTTCAGCAACAAAATTTTTTTCATATTTGTTGAGATTTCTTGCGGGCCAGTCCTTTTTTGTGTAATATGAAATTTTGTCTCTATGTCCCACATACACAAGAAGCAGCAGTATTTGGTATAGCCTAATTGCATTCCTAAAAGTGTGGCAATACTTTTAGGTCACCACAAATTTTCCATTTGTGTTCGTTGTAATTGATTGGGTTAAGAAGAGTTTTCATATTTAGGTAAGTTTCTTTCATGTGAGCTGCATGGCCAATAGGAACTGATGGAAAATGATTTCCATTGTGCAGTAATACAGCTTTCAAGCTTAGCTTTGATGAATCTATGAATAATCTCCATTCACTTGGATCATAGTTCAAATTGAGACAATACATTTATCCATAGATATCAACGCAAACAACAAGGTTATTTTTCTGTGTGGTGCATCATCTGTTGACACAAAATCAGAATCATTTGATGTGGAAGGCTGGCTTTTTTTCCCTTCTTCTATTTCATGTGCCTCTATAAATAAAACATTATAGATAGCCAAGAGGCAAAATAAAAAAAGATGAAAAAATTTTTCTAAAAAATAAAAATTTATACTCTTGAGGATAGAGTTTTGCTTTTATCTTTTGAACTAGAGCTAATAAGTAATGTTTAATGTCATTTTCGGATTCAGCAGGTGGAAATACATAAGAAACAACTAATTTTGGTTCAGATACAAAAACACTGTTGGGCAGTGTAATTATTGGATCAATCATGTTTTGATATTTTTATAGATGATGAAGCATTTCTAGCTTCAATGAGTTCAAAAGGTAAAATTTTTATCTCAAAAAGCATAAAAATGTCAAAATGGTACAACAAATTTTATCAACATCTTTTGAACATCACCGTTTTAATTGCAAAAATTGTTAACAATTATTTTGCCACTTGAAAATTATGAACTTAAATGAAAAAGAACAAAGTTTGGGTTTAGTGGATTGCCAATTGCCACGCTTTCAGCTTAATTTAAAAATGAATTTCACAAAACTATCAAAGCAATAGCAAGATTTATTGAATAGGTTTTGTATTTCCAAGTGTATTTTTCAGTGTGCACAGATGAATACAGTGCTTGCATTCAACAACAAAAACTGGCCCCTGCAGTAATTGGCTAGCAAAATAATTACATTAATATATGTAAGTGTAACAGTGATCTATCAAAATACAATGAGGACCCTGATTAACTTCAAACATGTGCCGTGCCTGTCAAACACTGATAAGTAGCAATAAAAATTATGATAATTGATTAACTGGTACAAAAAGTTTTCAAATTATTTGGGGATGTATCAATTTGACTCCATGGATATCAATACGAAAGAAAACAGACAAGCTAAATTGTATACAAGTTTGATGAGCATGTAATGTTGAAATACATTTCCAGAATGGATTAGAATTAAAAATAAACTTAACCTTTTTAGCTTGGAAGTTAGTTTCCAAATATTATCAGGATCCAGCATTGTTTTATCCTTTTCCAATGCCAACATGAAACAGCCTTTCTCAATGTATGTCATGTAAATTGTTAACACTAGCATCATGACAAAATATGTATAGTATATCTGTTAAAGAAAAATTGTCTTGCTTCACAGGTTCAAAATGAACAACTTTGTTTTCATTTTAATTTTCACAAGTAAAATAATTTGTTAAATGTATTTATAACTAATGGTTTAATGAAATAAAAATGAAAAGGATATGATAAAACACAAATAATAAGGACATCCCTTGATTTTGGGAATGGATAAATATAGTCCCAAGCAAATGCAAATAGTGCAAAAACCACTGATATTGTGCAGAGTATCAATCGACCGTCCATTAACCTGAATGATTCAACGTAGCCAAATTTTTCTTTAAAAATCTGAAATAGTGAAACGCATTATAAAAATTTATATTATGAAATAATAAATGTTGGCAGTTGAAGCATATGGAACATAATAAAATTATAATGAATCAATAATAATGTTATTAATCATTGTTGAAGCCAACAAAAAATAGCTTTTTTATATGTAGTTATTGTGCAGCCAGTCTAATAGAAAAATTTAAATAAATAAATTGAAGAATGAAGATAAAAAAAAATGAAGGCTGGCTGTGTAGAGGTAGATGATTTGATCTGTAAGAAAGTAAATTGAAAATAAAGTTGCAGATGTTGATGTTCATTTTAATTATCAATGCAAACCTTTTTGGTATGATCATCAAGAGCGTTTTTTAACGCGGAACCATCCCACTTGTCTATTTTAACAGGCTTTTCTTCTGGCACATCACCAGCAATCTTTCTTACCCAAACAAGAAGTCATATGTTTGAAATAAAAAATTAATACCATTTTCACTCAAAAACATAAACATTTTAAAAATGAATGATTTTATTAAAATAAAAATTTTTAATCACCTTTTGCTCTTTAGATTTTGACATATCATTAATTAAGTTAGCAGATCCTCTACAGAAAATAATTGAGCGAATTGAAAAACACAAGCGGAAACTGACGTGTAATAAAAGTGAAAAAGGTATCAAATATGATTAAACGTGTAATCTTTGGAAATGTGGATGATGAACTGGCAATTGATGAACACGTAAGAGACCTACACTAGAAACAATAAATATCGAACCACACGCAGAATATATAGAAATAATATAGAATTGTATTTTACAGGTATGATTATTAAATAAATTAAAAAATTGACCAATTATATGATATATATATATATATATATATATATATATATATATATATATATAGTTTAGGTTCAGCCATGATTCAGCAGCAATTTGAAATTTGTCAGCATAGGTACCTACTTTGGAAAACTTCAACGTTAACATTATTCTCATCTAGGTATTCTAAGTACGAAGATCTTCTAAGATTTTTGTTATTTATGCGCCTGGTGTAGTAGGTTTTATTAAATTCAATAATATGCTAAGACCATTTATATAAAATATATTCTATATATATGGCTAAGACTTAATAAAAATATGAATAATTTCCTTTATTTTTTGAGAATGTAATGCTATTATAGTTCATCACAGAACCTCCAGATAATGATTACCTGCCTAAGCTAAAACACAGCACACACTGTATTAAATATATCAATAACACAGCACACACAACACAAATTATACACGTATGAATATATGCAGAGTAAAATAACGCCAATAAATTGGAACGCTAACAACAATTGTTTCAACTTGAATCATCAACATTTTGAGGCACAGTGGATGGATAGAAAGATACGTAGGTATACAACGCACATGTGGAGAGAAAGAGAGAGAGAGAGAGGGAAAGAGAGAAAAAAGAAAACCAGAAGAAAAGGTACAAGAGAGAGAGAGAGAGAGAGAGAGAGAGAGAGAGAGAGAGAGATAAAGAAAGAGACAGTATAAAGAGAGACAACGAAGGGAGACAAGAAAAAATAGTGAAAGAGTGAGAAAGAGAGGGAGGGAGAGAATCAATCAATCAATCAATTAGCTTATAAAGCGCTATTTCCGCGATGTTCAACAGCGCTCCTCAATGAATTTTGAAAACAGATAGGTCTTGAGATCCGCTCTGAACTTCGCAAGTGATGGAGTGTTTAACACGAGTTAAGAAAAAGCGAGAAAAAGAAGACGATAGTAAAACGGGGCGTTTAGGTTCAATTAATATATCTGATAAATACTTAGGAAATAATTTAGATTGAGACTTATACATGAAATGATCCAAGATGAAATATTGAGAAATAGAGAAAGATACAAGATATAATATTGAGGAAGAAAAAGAGGTGCATGATATAATTTTGAAAAAGATACAGGTAGAGATAGAGAGAGCTCGCGAGAGAGTAGATAGATAGATAGAAAGGGTGCAACTGGTTGACACACGCTAAACTTAAAATTTTATTCAGAAACTTTTATTGACTCTAATACAGTCGTTGTTGGCTTTTTTACTTCAATAAAAGCGTGAGAATGTTTCGTAGTAAGGTTCCAGTAACAATTGACACGTCATCTTAATCGTTTATTAATCTTCAATCAAAATGAAATATGCATTATTACCCTTCGAGTTTCATATCGTCTGCATCTAGCTAATTAATCAATCTAATGAGAACTAATCTTACAACAGTATGAACAAAATTACTTAATAATAATTAAATAACAATTTTAACTGCTTAATTATTAATAAAATTATGAACATAATTGCAAGATCAGAACAGTTGCACTACATGTCATTATACGGTGAACGCTATTATCACGTGACTGGGAATGGATTTTAATACTGAAGTTTATTATTTTATTATCATATTAGCTGTTGGTTTGACTTGACCATGTCCAGTTTGGTATCGTCAGAGGTAGCCAGCATGCATACTACCTGAATTAAAAGTTAAATTATGGATTAGAAATTGTGAATTATGAATTATTTTGAGTTAGAAATTATAAACCTTAAAATAAAGCAAAAACCAAATAAAAGCTAAAACCAAATAACAAAAAAACATTAAATTTTTGTAAATTAGAATACTCAGTAGAACCAAGTAGTAACTGAAAAACTCGTATAAAAGTTTAACCTAAATACACTATAATAACTACAGCTACGTCATGTGTCGTCATAAAAACAGAATGTAATGTGTGTGCGTACGTGCGTGTGTCCGATGCAACCATCAGCAACGAATTTGTCACATTAGAAACAAAGTAAAATAAACAAAAGCTGACTCAGATTCTGGTTTTCATAGCAATTTTAGTGAGAATTGCTAACCATTTTCATCATCACCAGAAGAAGAAGAAGAAGGAAAAGAAGAAGGAAAAGAAGAAGAAAAAGAAGAAAAAGAAGAAGAAAAATAAAAAATAAAGTAGGATTCTGATTCATTATCATCATCATCATCAGAATTATAATAATAAGAAGAATAAGAAATAAACTATGACTCCGATAAATTATCATCATCATCATCATCAAAATAGTAAGAAAAAGAAATAAGAAGAAAAAGAAGAAGAAGGAAAAGAAGAAGGAAAAGAAGAAGAAAAAGAATAAGAAAATAATGGGACATGTCAGCCACCGACAGCGACGAGTTAGTCCTGCCCACCGCTGCTTCGTTTGACGTATCAGTAGCGTTCGTGTATAACCCCACAACACCTCTAGCAAAGCCGACGCCGGATGCATTGCAGCACATCTCAGCCAGGCTTGCGTTCATTGCCACTGGAAGAACAACTATAGCGCGAGAGTAATCGTTTTACTGTTTATATCACGGTAATTATTGAACTTCCATAATCAACAGCTCTACAAGCTTTCGTATGCCACCATGAACATCTGACTGACTCGGCACGCAACACCATCATCTTCCGAAAGACAAAGGATCACTCTTGGTACAACATCATCTCCGGCATGTCGTGGTGTTAGGGAAAATATCATTTAAAATTTTATTAATTACCAATTGTAAAATAATATTGAGTGTAATTTACTCTGACTGTGTGTAATGTATTGTAATGTTTGGTTTGTGTAATGTATTGTAATGTTTGGTGTGTGTAATGTTTGGTGAGTGTAATGTTTGCTGTGTGTAATGTTTGGTGGGTGTAATGGTGGCATAAAACAAAAACACACAACAGTCAGTAAGTGGGAGTTATAAAGAAGTCACCTACCTGCCTACCTACAGTAAATTAACACTTGTGCCTTAGCCTACCTATGATAACAATTAGCTCACCTCAAATCTCACCTACTTATAATCAATTAACTCATCTTAGGACCTAACTTACCTATATTCAATTACACTCAAACTCATGGCGTCGCCAGTCCGGTAGAGAGGAAAAGTTTTAAGAAGGTAGAAGACAAACATGACAAACATGACAACAACACAAAACAAATGAATGTATTGTGGACGTGTATTGTAGAAATGCCTGCGTGCTGCTGTGTGTATGTATGTGTGTGTGTATGTGTGTGTATGTATGTATGTGTGTGTGTATGTATGTGTGTGTGTATTTATATGTGTGTGTATGTATGTGTGTGTGTATGAGTATATGTTGAACGTAAAAACTTTACCTTTATCTCTACAGTCATCCAGTAACCATCTGAGACGCATTGATCACCAGCCATCTTCTGAGACATGCCCGTAATTTGAAGGACACGCCTGCAAAAAAATATTTTTTTAATTCATAATGCAAATGAAAGTAAGTTATTTCATGCATGCGTGCCAAGTTATGCCAAAATTTCATTTGATTCACGTTATAAATGTAAAACCGAGTTGTGTTATATCGAAATTGTTATATTATCACCGTCAGTAATCTTGCTTTTGTTACTTTTATAACTGCTACTACTATTAGTATTAATAAAACTACTATTACTTCTACTACTACTATTACTACTACTACATTTACTAAAGTAAGTTTATCAGCGCGTTATAACACATAGCAAGAAAGGCCCATCCTATTTTTTAAAGTTGTACACGTTCGGCAAGCCAGTTTGATATGTATTGATTACTGCTTGTAGCCTACTACTAAAATACAACAACTATACCACTACTACCACCACTACTACCACTGTTACTACTATTAATGTTACTACTACTGTCGTTACTGCTGCTACTACTACTGCTGCAAAATTACTATTATTATTACTGCTAGAGCTTTAAAAAAAAATTATTAGCTAAATAATTAAATTTTTTTTTCAAGGATCCAGACAAAAATTTCTGTTTTTTATAAATTTATAAAATGAATAAGGATTTTTTTATTTCAAAAATTTAATGTTAGAACATAAATTTTCAAAATTGATTGACTTATTTAATTGATTATATAATAAAATTCTAAAATTTAAATTCAAATTTTAACACTTTCTAAAAATTTTAAACATCGTGGAAGTATATGATAAAATAAGAAATTACCACGTAAACGCTTTTATTCAAATTTATCAATTAATTTCAGTCATGGATGTTGTCGGATTGAAAATCCTAGCGACTAAAAAGACTCATAAATAAAACACCACGAAATAAGGAGTTGATTTGTGCGGGCTTTATAAGAAACTGCGATAACTATCCTGATAGGTATTCGGGCTGCTGATGAGTCCCCGGTAGGGATGAAACGTGTCCAGCCTATCCAAACGAATTCTATTCTTTTCTTCTCTCGCTCACTGCTCTTCTAGTTCAGTGTTCTCATCATCAAACACAACCGCAACAATGTCTTATCCATGATTTCAGTGCCTACGTGCCTCAGTGCATGGAAGTAGGACAATTAATGCCTACGTGGTAAATTGTGTTTTAAAATGCTTGCAAAAAATACAAAGAACCTGATTTCAATACATACTAGTTAATTTTCAT